AGTGTATAGACAACAGCATCACACGCCCCAATTTTATAGGACATTCTGGAATATTCTGGGACAGTTAATGTAGAATACAGAATGTTTTCCTGTTATCCCAGCAAGTGTCCTAGTAAGCACTGGTCCTACAAGATAGCAGTACGTGTGGACCTTTTTACCTATCATTATATCACTTACAAAAGTGAAAAATTGAGCCGGGTGTGGTGACACATGCCTTTAATACCAGCACTCAGGAGACACAGGCAGACAGATCTCCATGAGTTCAAGACCAGCCTGGTCTACATAGCAAGTTCCAGGCCAGCTGGGGCTACAGGGAGACCCTGTCTCAGAAAGACCAAATAAATAGATAGATAAATAGATAGATAGATAGGTAGGTATGTAGATAGATATAGATAAAATGAAAAGTTCTGAACAAACGTGTTCATAGGTGTGTTGGAGGACTGGTTCAGCAACTGTAAAATCAACCTGTGGTAGGATGTCACGTAGCCTCTGAACATGGACTTGGGAAGACTTCCATGTGCCTAGATTTCTCACTGGGTGACCAGCGCAAACAGCCTTACTTTCTTCTTTTGGTTTCATTCCTTTGTATCTTCCTTGCTTTGTTTGACCCATGGTGTGTGTGTGTGTGTGTGTGTGTGTGTGTGTGTGTGTGTGTGTGTATACATGCACATGGACGCCAGAGATCAGAAATTGTTTTCTTCAGTCATTCTCTACTTTTAGTTTTTGAAGCACAGCCTTTCACCTATTTGGCCTAGCTGGCCATCAAGCCCTGGGGATCCCCCTGTCTCTGCCTCCCTAGCATAGAGTTACAGGCATGCACCACCATACCTGCCTTTTTTTTTTTTTCTTTCCCCACTTAGTGCTGGGGATTGAACTCAGATCCTTGTGCTTGCATTGCAAACACTTTACCAGCTGAGCCATCTCCCCAGCCCCTGACCCTTAATATTTTTAAAGTGCTGCTTTTCTTTCTTTTTTTTAAAAAATATTTTATTATTTTTATTTTATGTGTGTAAGTGTATTGCTTGTATGTGTGTGAGTGCACCTGTGTCGTGCAATGCTGTGGAGGTCAGAAGAGGGCTTCGGATTCCGCTGGAACTGGAGTTAAGGATGGTTTGTAGCCACCATGTGGGTGCTGGGAATCGAACCTGGGTCCTCTGCAAGAGCCTCTTAACTGCTGAGCCATCTCTCCAGCCCCTAAAGTGCTGTTTTTCTAAAGAAGGGGATAGGTACTTATTGAATGCCTACTGTATGGCAGACATTTATTAAAACTTGGCTAACCCTCATATGTGCTCTGTAAGGTAAATGTGGTATTAGTTGGAACTTTTGGAGCTTGGAGATGGACAGCTGACCAGTGAATGGTGGAGCCCAGTGTGCCCCCTCCCCCACAAGCCTGCACTTAGGGAGTCCATGTGCTCTTCTCATATCTGGCATTATCAAGGCACCAGGGAGGCTTTAGAGGTTATTTGATGTTGGCTGGGAAGTATTGTGACTTACTTAAGGTCTTAAGCTAGCTAGAGAGAGGTGACCAAGACTGAAAGCATGGGGTTTGTATATATTGTGACTGAGCTGCACTGAAAATGGCCTTGACGTACTCAGGAGACTCATGTTTGTTTGCATGTGTCATGACCTTGGACAATCTCGATGGATTTGGTGTGCATTCCTTGGAGTTATGGTAAGGTTCACCTGCTTATCCCCAAAGTGTCTTACAAACAACAAAATGCACTGTGGTCTAGTTAATTTAGCCCTATAAAGTTTGGGTTTTCTGGCCTGCTACTCTCCTATCTGGGGTCATGAAGCTCTTCCTAAAGCTGTACTGTTTAGCTTTCCACACGTATCTGTTGTTGGGATTCTTTCTGTGTACAGCGTATTGTAGGAGTCACTTTCCTTTTATTCCATGTAGATTCTGAATTGACCAAACGGCATAATTCCCACCATTCTGTAGCTTGCTGTGCCAAGAATGTGCCCAAAGATGCTTGCATCTGCTGCTTTTCTGTCTGTTGACCGATCGATTGTCCCATTGAATGACCAGGCTATCCATTTGAACTAATGGCATATGGCCTTTGTTCCTGCTGTTTTGTACAAGTAAGTTTTGATGTCTAGGAGAATTTTTCACCACCTTGTTTCATACAATGTCTTGCTGTTTGCGTTTCTCCATATAGTTCGGATTCATACTGTAAAGTTTGTTACAAAAAGGAGAGCCAAGTGCGGCAGTGCACACCTGTAATCCCAGAGCTTTCTCTTTCACATGTCCACATTTTCAGCATCATTACTCTTGTGCTTTGGAAACATTTTAAGTAGACTGAGGGCTTCCTTAACACAAGCACTGAGGATATTGCCAGTGTAGCCACTAAGTGACACACGGTGGGTAGTTATACAGCCTGGGTATGGGACACCAAAGGACAATTCAGATCCTAGGTGGCACTGAGCAGCATACTGTGAGATCTTACTGCACGGTTCAGAACAGCACACAATTGAAAATGTATGAATTCTTTATTTCTGGAGTTTTTCATGTGTTACTTTTGGACTGTTAACTATAATAACTAAAACTACAGAAAGTGGAATTGTGGAGAAGGCTACCATGGCAGAATTTGCTTCTGTTTTAAGACTGCATTGTATGGGTAAGACCAAGTGTTGAGCATCCTTTCATCTGTTTTGTTGGCTATTGTAGATAATGCCATGAACATGGGTGCACAGATGTCCCTTGAGACCCTGTTTTAACTCCTTCGGGTTTATGCCCAGAAGTGGAATTGCTTGATCATTGGTGATACAATTTTTTTTGAAGGACCTTCATACATTTTCCCACAAACCCTCACTTTACACTCTCTCAGCAGTGCACGGAGTTCTGATTTCTTTACACCATCTCTCTTTCCCTTCTTCTTCCCTTCCCTTCTTCTTCCTTTTTTTCTTGATAATAGCCATCTTAATGAGTATCAGTTCCATTGAAGCTTCTGTTCTTTCCTCTCTATCGTCTCTTACTTGCTTGTAAGAATTTTCTCTTTGCCTCTCTGTGCTTTATCCTGGCTCTTTTCTGCAACTTCATTCCTGTTTAATTTCTCTTGTTCAGTGCACAGTGCACTTTAAATAAAGCCCATTCATCGACTACTTGATATTTTATTTATTTTTTTGGTCTTTTTTGAGACAGGGTCTCCTAGTAGCCCCAGCTGGCCTGGAACTATGTAGATCAGGCTGACCTCGAACTCACAGAGATCTGCCTGCCTCTGTCTCCTGAGTGTTGGGATTAAAGGTGTTTGTCACTATGCCTGGCTTGACTACTTAATTTGATCTATTCATTATTTGGTTCTTTCAAAAAAAACAAAAAACAAAAAAACAACAACAACAACAACAAAAAACCTCTTTGGAATGTAACCTTTTGTCTTCCAGGCAGGCCAAGAGGCTATAAAAAGTTATCCTCACTGTCTTAGGTGCTCTTTCCCAAGGGATGCTGGCTCTAGGACAGAAGTGGACCAGTTGCTCCAAGCTAACTGGTGCTTAAATCAGATTATCATCAAATTTTCCTAAGGAAATGGCTTATTTTTCTGCCCCTAAATTCCACCCAGGATTCCTTATTACACTTTGTCCCTCTTGCTTCCTCTTAGCTGTGACAGTTTCTCAGACTTCCCTGGTTTTGACCTTGACAGTGTGGAGGAGCATTGGCCAAGAGTTGTGAGTTCTCATGTTTTTCTGGTGATTACACAGGGCTTTGGGGGAACTGTCAGAAAGGTGTGTTTGTGTCACCTTCTATCAAGCTTACATCACAAGCTTATATCAGCATGACTTAGCATTGCTAATGTGGACCTTGGTCACCTGGCTGAGGTAATGTTTGTGAAAATACTGTAAAATTACCTCCTTTCCTACTGTACTTTTAGGAAGGAAGCCAAAGTGAAAATTTAAATCCTGTAGTTCAGAAGTAAAACTAGTATTTTGAAGTGTTTTAGACCATTACATAGTTTTTTTAAAATTGCTCACAATTTAACCTCTTTAAATAATTGAAAAAACTGAGAAATTATTTCCCTTTAACACTTCCAATTAGTCAGTTCTTTCCAAGGCCAGTCATGTTTTCTAGCTGCAAAATTACAGGCTGCTAGTAACTAGCTGTTATTGTTTGACTGTTACTGGTTTGTTCTGGCTGCTTCCCATTGAAGCAGTTTAGGTGTTAGAATGCCATATTGAACAAACGCTTTCGATAGAACAGTTAACAGCGCCCCCCCGTGGGCAAACCTAAGCACCGAGGAAATCCTGTTTTTTGAACTTACATGCGGGGGAAAAGAGGTTTCGTAATGTTCCAAAAATTGCACCAAGGTAAAGCAGAGCTCTAACCGATGCGGGTGTGTTGCAAGGCGTTAGCAGTACTGCCCTCACTACGCGTTCATTGGACAGTAGCTCAACCCCAAGAAAAGGATGGTTGTCTGCGAGCGCGTGCGGACCGCGGCCGGGAAGCGCCAGTCCCGGGTTGGGTTGCGGTGACTACCGTGGGTGGCCGACCCCGGCCTCTAGTCGGACCGTGACTTCCGCCACCGTAACTCCCGGCGCCGACCACTCCCTTTGCTTTTCTGAGACTCTTGAAGGGCTTCCAAAGGCTGCTCGGCTTTACCCAGAAGGCCGCGCGTCCTGAGGCTGAAAATTTGCATACGCGCCTCTGATGGGAGGCGGGGAGCGCTGCGTCTAATTTGCATGCTAGCCTCTGGGGGCGGGGCCTCGGAGCTGCCATCTGCTTAATTTGCATATGAGTGTGGGGGCGGGGCTTTCTGGGCGGGGCTACCGAAAGCTCCATCTCTGTGCGCCTCAGCCAGGGCAATTTACATGCACCCCTTGGTGCGGGGCTGTCGTAGGCTTCTGCCAGTCTGTCGCCACTCTTTTTTATCCAAACAGTGCCAGTCTTACCCGTGCCGGAGCATCCTCCCCTACCACCCGGTCTTTCCGGTCGCTGGGGCTCTGTAATCGCGGGGACAAGACATGTGATCTCGGGGCACCGCTGACGCTCTGTGCGTTTGCCGTTGCAGGTGGTCCTCCTGGGCATGGACATCCTGTCGGCGCTGGTGACCCGGCTGCAGGATCGTTTCAAGGCGCAAATTGGCACAGGTGAGCCGCGGATGCAGACCCAGCCCTATAGGGCTGCACCGATGAGGTGCAACTGACCGGATCTCTACACCACCTGGGTCAGCCAGCCCCTTCTCCTCCAGCCTTCTGCGCCCCGCCTCCCCACCCTCCTGGGCTCTCCTTACTTTGGGCCACTGCCTCTAGCTGGCATCTTTCCCCCCAGCTCCGATTTATTCCTTCCTCTATCACCTTCCGGCTTTCTTGTTCTAATTATGTTTGAATGTGAAATATTACTAGTTTTTAAATGCAAGGTTAGCCATCAGACTTTACATCAGCCAGTTCATGTTTGACCCCAGCCCTTCAGTTGAGGGGCAGTTTTCTTTGAAAAGCCCTGCAAAAAGTGACCTAGTTGGATTTTCTCACAGGTGATTTTTATTTATGTAACTGTTTAACTGTAAATGTCATAAGTGTGCAGTGAATGCTCACTCCTTTGAAGGGAAAGGAGTATGCCAGCAAAACGAAAAAACCATGGATCTGATAGATTTAGAGACAGTTTAGATATCAAAGTATTTCATGGTGGCAATGTAAACACTAAGCAGTTCTGTTTGTGCATCTCTTTCAGTGTAGAATCTTTTTCTTTTTCATGTGTGTGGCAGTGCAGAGACTAGAACGATGGCCTCTGTGTGCTAGGCAGGCATTCTACCACTGAGCCACACCCCCAGCTGGAGTTCCTCCACTTCCATTAGTTCATTAGTATTTTCCCTTTTTCTTTACTGTAGCTTTCTGGTTGGTTTGCTTACCTAAAAAGATGGTGAACCATAAGAGAAAACTTACTGGTAGGAATTTGATATTTGATCTGTTTTCCATTCCCTCCACATAAGCTGAGTTTTTCAGTTATGTCTTATAGTAGAGGTTCATGGACTCTCACTATAGGCCTGACAGGCTTGGGGCACCCATGAGTGGGTTGGCCCACACTTCAGTGTGTAGGGGAGTCGGCTTCATGTGGTTGTGCATGTCTTGTGTGTGATATAAAGTAAAAAGCCCTGGATGTCAGTGAAACTTGCTGATCCATTCTATGCCCAAACTGATAGGTTGGATCATTTAAAATTTTTTATTAGCATATATTATGCATAATAATGGATTCATTATAACATTTTTATACATGCATGTCATATATTTTGATCACACCCTTTGCCTTGGTTGTTTTCCCCCTGCTAATCCTCTTTTCCCACATAGCCTCTTTCTACTTTCATGTCTTTTTTTTTCCTTGACCCATTGAGTTTTAATAGGATTATTTTCAGGTGCATGGGCACCTTACCAGTGGCTACACCACTGAAGAAAATGTATCTCCTTCCCCTAGCAACCATTACCTGCATATAAATCCTCAGGAAAGGGTGGGTCCTTGTGGACATCCCCCCCCCCCCCCCTTTTGAGACAGGGTCTCATGTAGCCCTGACTGGCCTGGAAGTTGCCACACAGCTGAGGATGACTTGAACTTCTGATCCTCCCTCTACCACCTCCAGAACGCTGGGATTACAGGCTGAAGCAGCTCCCCCCCCCCACCCTCAGGTTTCCTTTGTGTTGCCCTTTCTGCCATGACCTTCTATTTTAATATTTCATCCAGTTCCCAATATGTTGAGATTTGACTGGGGGAAAGTATAGGAAGGTGATACAGGATTTGTTGTTAGCTAAATGGACTTCAGCAAAGAGAATGGAGCTGTAACCAAGAGTGGGTGGTTTTGGAATTAGCTATGTTAGTAAGGCCAGCTAACTGCAGAGTGAACAGATGGTAACCACAGATCTGAAAATCAGTTTCCTTTGATCAGTTTCCATTTTGATTTCCAGTGCTGCCAAGTCTAATAGACAGGCTGGGAGATGCTAAGGACTCCGTGAGAGAGCAAGACCAAACTCTGCTGCTAAAGATCATGGATCAAGCTGCTAATCCCCAGGTAGGGCCAGAGGAACATGTCTGTGTATACAAACAGCCCTCTAAACTTAATTTGTTTTTTGGTTTGTTTTGGTTTGGTTTTATTGGTCTTTTTGAGACAGGGTCTCCCTGTAGCCCCAGCTGTCCTGGAACTCACTATGTAGACCAGGCTGGCCTTGAACTCACAGAGATCTGCCTGCCTCTGTCTCCCCAGTGCTGGGATTAAAGGCATGCGCCACCATGCCCTGCTTAGACTTAATTTGTTTTAATCTGATATATTAGAGATGAACATTTTCATGGCATGCAATCCCTCCTCATATGAGAGACTTAAATGCATGATTAGCAAAATGTAACATTTGAATACATTAATGGGTTGAGCATGGGTGTTGAGTGCTTGATTAATTTATTAGACTCTTTAGCTCATTTATGGGACTGGCTCTCCCCTTCTCTGAAAAGAGATAGCTGGCAGCCGGTAGGCCTGGCCAGAGTCCTGTTCCCCGTCTGCTGGTGAGCTGGGCCTGCTGGGATGTATGGACTCAACCCTGCCTTCCAGGGTCTCACTGGCCATTGTTGGGGGTGCAGCTGGGGCAATCAGCAAGTTTTCTAGGGGAGATAGAACTTGCAAGGGTGGGGGTGGGGGTGGGGAGGGTTGTTCCTGATAGAGCAGTGTGAATGTATGGTCTCTGGTAAGTTGTGCTCTCTTTTGGGCCTCACTTTACTCAATCATAAAATGGGAGGCTATTTATGCCTCCTCAGGGTTGAGGATAGTGTTGCATTGTGTAAGTGCACACTTTGAACATTTTATCTGGATATGTTTGGTAAAGATACATTATGGGATGAATTTGGCTTCTGCAAAAGCTCTTATTCTGTTGTCTGCTTCTTTACTGAGTGAAGGGCTGCAAAAGTCTCTCCTCTCACTTGTTCCTTGTTACTTGCAGTATGTATGGGACAGAATACTTGGAGGCTTCAAACACAAGAACTTCCGCACAAGAGAAGGCATCTGCCTCTGCCTTATTGCAACACTCAATGCGTAAGTCTGGGGTGGACCCCCAAACTGTGCTTGGCTAAAACTTTTTAATTTTAATTTTCTAATTTTTTTTTTTTTTTTTTGTCTTTTTGAAGCAGGGTCTCCCTGTAGCCCCAGCTGTCCTGGAACTCACTATGTAGACCAGGTTGGCCTTGAACTCACAGAGATCTGCCTGCCTCTGCCTCCCAAGTGCTGGGACTACAGGCATACGCCATCACGTCCGGCTAACTTTTTTATTTTTTAATTAAGATAGCCTTATGTAGCTCAGGTGGCCTTGAACTAGAACTCCTTTTGTAATTGAGGATGTCTTGAACTTAGGATCCTCCTGCCTCCCCCTCAAGTGCTGAAATTAGCACAGCATGCATACCAACATGGTGCTGGGGATGGAACCCAGGGCTTCATGCATGCTAGGCAAGCACACTACCGACTGAGCTACATACTCAGTCTCTTGATTACAGCTTGGGGGAAAAAAAAAAAAACCCAAAAACCTTTTATTCTGAATTGCAGGTTTGCAGTCAGTTGCAGAGAAGTGTCCTGGCCTTCCCTCTTTTCCTCCTCCATAGTGGAAATAGTTTTGATAAGTACAGTGCAGCATTCAACACCACGAAAGGAATATTGGTCCTGTCCACAGCAGAGCTTGCTCAAAGTACCCCAAGTATACACTAGTGTGTATACATACACCTCTGGTATCACCACAGGGCTCCCCAAAAATGTTCCATAAATAGGTTCAGACTTTATGTAATTTTTTTCATGATCACCTTTTATTCACTTAGTGTAATTCCCTAGAAGTTGCAATATATGTTGCTGATGGTGATAATATTCATTTTGTTTCATTGAGAGGGTATCAATGTAGTCAGGTTTGGTTTAGCCATTCATCTAACATTGAAGAAAATGTGAATGATCTCAAGTTTGGGGTCACCAAGAGTAAAATTGCTGTAGTCATATGTACAAGCTTGTTTGTGACCATAAGTTTTCATTTCTCTTGCATCAGCCCAAGAGCACAACAGCAGGGTCATTTGGTAAGCCCATTTCTAGTTTTAAAAGAAACTGCCAAAATACTTTCCAGAGTTGTCTGTTCCATTTTACAGAATCTGTTCACAGAGGGTGTCTCTGGTATCAGCATTTGCAGGGTGAAAAGTGATTAACAGGCTGGAGAGACGGCTCAGCAATTATGAGTGCAGTTGCCGCTCTTCCAGAGGACTCAAGTTCAGGTCTCAGAATCCATCTCAGTATCCAACCTCAGGTGGCTCACAGCTGCCTGTAACTCCAGCTCCAGGGGAATCCGACATTCTTTTCTGGCGTCCACAGGCACCCCCACATATGGCAAACATAACACACACACATCTTTCTTTAATTTTGGAAGTGACTAACTTGAAGTTCTCAGGTAGAGCAGTGTGTAGTCAGGAGCCCTGTAGCCGTATTGCCACTAGCAGCATTAACTGTCTGAAAATCCCTCCAGTGATGACACCCTTTAAGGCGTCTGATTGGGTCTACTGAGTTTGGCAGAGTGGGAAGTATGACCTGACACAGCAGAGCTAGGGTTTGTAAGGCAAACAAGATGGTAGGACAGGAGCTCTGGCTTCGCCTTCAGCAGACAGAGCCACTGAGGGCCCTGAGCTGATGAACCGGGGTACATTTACTTTGGAGACTGTTCTAGTTTGCTTCTCCGGTGCTGTGAGAATTACCATGATCAAAAAGCATCTTGGGGAGGAAAGGGTTTCTTTTACCTTACAGATTACAGTTCATCATTGAAGGAAACTAAGGCAGGGACTCCAGGCAGGAACCTAGAGGCAAGAATTCAAGCAGAGAGCTTGGAGGAACATTGCTTACTGCTCACCTTTCCCTGGCTTACTCAGCTACTTTCCTTGTACAGCCCAGACCCATCTGCCCAGGGATGGCACTGCCCACAGTGGGCTGAGCCCTCTTACACCAATTAGTAATCAAAATAGCACCCACAGACATACCCACAGGCCAGTGTGATTGAGATAATTCCTCAGTTAACGTTCTCCTTCTAAGTATCTCTAGTTTGTGTTAAACTGACAAAAACTAACCAACACAGAGCCAGTGTGGATAGAATGGAGGAGCCTTGGGGTATGAGGGACTAATAACACCCTGGGGTAGAAGAAGGCAGGCCTGGGCAGGGCATCTGTCTTTTCTTTTGTTTGCACTCACAGTAGCACCCACCTTTTGCCTTTCATTTGCAGCTCTGGAGCACAGACTCTAACACTAAGCAAGATCGTGCCACATATATGTAACTTACTTGGAGATCCAAACAGCCAGGTGAGTGAAAAAGAAGACCCTAGGGGGAGAATCAAAGCCTGTAGACAGTTAAAGTGCATTCTAGTTTCTGTGTGTGCAGTTGGTGGGTGGGACTTAATCTTTACAGAGGTCTGATTATGGTTTAATATATCAGCTACCCATTGGCATTTATAAAATATGAGCAAATGTTATGTCTACTCTGCCCTCTCTTGTATGTTGAGCTGTAAAATGATTTCTATTCTAGTTTGTTTTCTGTTGCTGTGATAAAGCAACTTAGGGAGAAAATGGTGTATTTCATAGTACAGGTTACAGTCCATCATCAAAGGAAGCCAGGGCAGGAGCTCCAGCAGGAACTTGGAGGGAGGAACTGAGGCAGAGACCATGGAGGAAAGCTGCGTACTGGCTTGCTTCTCTGGCTTGCTTAGATACATTTCAGATATAGCTCAGACCCAGCTACCTTGGAATGGCACTGCCCTCAATGGACTGGGCCCTTTTACATCAATAGCAATCAAGAAAATGCCCCACAGCCATGGCCACAGGCTGATCCAATGGAGGAAATTCCTCAGCCAGGATTCTCTCTTCCAAGGTGTATCTAGCTTTTTGCCAGGTTGATAACAAAACTAACCAGGTCAGTGCCATTCAGAGCAGCCTTCAAGATAAGACTACTCTGCTTATCTCTGCAGCCTAGAGGTGCTGGGGACAGGGGATGATAACAAAAGGGCCTGAAGGGATATTCTGGGAACTGAATTTGGGTACTCTGCAAGAGCAGCAAGCACTCAACTACTGGGCTGTCTCTCCAGGCCCAGCCCCAGTCCCAAACCGTAGTTACTGTCTTAGAACTCTGTTTCCGCATTGAGGGTGAGAGCTTTAACGTTTGAATCTTGGTAGATACTCACTTATTATATAAAGTTTGGGAGACAAGATGATGTGGCCTACACTTTGCCCTTTACATTAGAACAGGAGGTTACAAATAGTTACCTCTCCTGTGACACTAGCACATCAAAGGATTGTAAACCGTAGCTTGTGCCCCCTCACCCGGTCCTTTCTCCCTCTCTTTACTTTGGTTTCATTGCTGGAGAACAAATAGAAAGCCCTGCTGTTGGCACAAGCTCTTCCTGCTGTGTTAGCCCTACCACCTAGCCTCCATGCTGTTCCCTATTAAGTTTTTCTCCTTTCCTTTTTGTTTGCAAAATTATAAACTTAGAGAAAGCCTGAAAGAGCAGTATGGCGAACAGCTGTGTTTACCAGTTAACATTTTGTCAAATTGTGTCATATCTCTGTGTGTTACATGTTTACAGATAAACCTTTTTTTCTGAACCATTTGAAAATAACAGATGGATGTAACATTTCTACCCTGGAAAGTTCAGTATATCATGTAATAGCAAAGATATTTTCTCATATAACAACATGTAATTTTAAAAATTACTTATTATTTGTGTTCTGTGCCTGTGTGTGAGCATGCGAGTGCCACAGTGCATGTGTGGAAATTAGAGGACTATGTGAGCCAGTGCCTTTGAGTAGCAGTGTCGTTTGGATCTAGACACCTGCCACATTTCATCTGAACCTACTGAAGTCTGACCCTTTGGAGCATTGTTGAGGCAGCTTCCTGCTGTAAAGGGTTTCTTGATGTCCCGTGACACAAGTGCTCCGTTCTCCCTCCCACCTTCCCTCTCTCCTTCTTTTCCTTCCTTTTTCCCTCCCTTCCTTCTCCCTTTCCTTCTTTCCTTTTTTCTACCCCTGAGTCCCTCTTTCTCTTTTTCTGTGGTACTCTTGTGTGTTCAGGTACATGTGTATGTATACACATGAGTGCAGGTGCATGTGGTGGCCGGAGGACATCCAGGCACTATCCACCTTATTTGAGACTGGGTCTCTCACTGCTCTGGAATTTACCAAGTAGGCTTGACTGGCTGCCCAGTGAGCCCCAGATACCTGCCTGTCTCTGCCTCCACAGTGCTGGGATGTGCCAACACACTTGGGTTTTGTACATGGGTTCTGGGGGTCAACTCAAGACCTCGTGTTCACAAGATGAGCATTTTCAGTGCTGCTCCCTTCCACTGTGATCTATGGTGGGTAGCCCTGTATTAAATGTAGCATTTATATACTTTTTATTCTTTCCAGGACTGTGAGTTCCTTGGATGTAAGGGCTATTTGGCTGTTATTGGCCCATTTTCCTTGCTCATTTTTACCTATTCTTTATCTAGAGTATTTTACCTGATTTTTAATTTTAGCATAATTCATCGTTTTATGTTTTGAAAACTCTGGTTTCCTGACATCACATGTTAAAAAGTGGGAAGAGCTAAGGGATCTGTATAAAGGGTCAGGGACTTTCTTCTACCCTTGGGATTGTTCCACACAGTGAAAACATCTGTGTGGCCACATCCAGCATACATAGGGATTGTGTTCACTGTGCTGCCCACAAACTTGAAACAAGTTGGAGTAGTATATGGCCTCTTGGGTTTCATCTGGAAGTCCTGGGGAATGAACAGGGAGCTATAAGATCTCTTCTTTTATGTCTAGGTTCGAGATGCAGCAATAAACAGCCTGGTGGAGATTTATAGACATGTAGGTGAACGTGTGAGGGCAGATCTCAGTAAGAAAGGACTGCCGCAATCTCGGTGAGTGCTCACTTTCTATTTTTTCCACTTAAAATTGTTTTTACATTTCTTTGTATGTGTGTGGGCATGCATGCATGTGGAGGTCAGAAGTTAGCTTGTAGGACTCTGTTCTCTACTTCTCCTTCTATCTTACGGGTCTCAGGGACCAAACTCAAGTCATCAGCCTTGGTGTCAAGTGCTTTTATGCAGGGAGCCATTTCACTAAATAATGATAATTTTATTGTGTGTGGGTATTTTCTCTACATGTTCTCCTGCTCTTTTTCAGGTCCTATCTTTGTGTTATTTTTGATGTGGTAATTATAATCACAGAATACATAATTAGCAGGCTGGTGGCTAGAGAGCTTGTCTACATCACATTTCAGCCATACCGTTCCACCTCATTCCCTCAATAATAAGACTCGGGCCTGGGAGAGTAGCAGAACCCACTTAAAGCTGACTGTGGTGGTGTGAGCATGTAATCCCAGCACAGGGGTCATGGAGAAGACAGATCCCTAGGGCTTACTGACCAGCCATCCTAGCCAAATTGGTGAGTAAATAGACCCTGTCTAAATAAGCAAGTTGGATGGCACCTGAGGTTGATCTCTGGCTTCTATGACATGTACACACATGCAAACACATGATCTAATTCTCTTTCTCTCTCTCTCTCTCTCTCTCTCTCACACACACACACACACACACACTTGCACACATGTACATGCATGCTTACACAGGATTTCACATCCCATACAGATTTTAGAAGTGCCTTTAAATTGATTGGTATTGAGACATTGAATAATGGTTTCACTGTAGGCAGCACCATTCCCAAGGCAGGGGTTTCTCATATGGGTGGAGAAATCAAGCTGAGCACAAGCAAGTGAGCATGCATGTACTCATTTGTCTCTGCCCTGGACTGTGGATGTACTATGACCAGCAGTTTTACATTCCTACCACCTTGACCTCCCCAACTGTGATGGACTGTAACCTTAGGCTGTGAGCTAAAATAAACCATTTCTCCCCTAGGTTACTTTTTGTCAGGGTGTTTTATCACAGCAGCAGAAATGAAACTAGGAGAGAGGTACTAGTTAGGTACTCAGTGTTTTTAGACATGGAACTCATTCTTTGAGACCTGAACCAAATGGTGGTTTCCATAAGGGGCATCTTGAATTGCTGCACTCTGGGCTAGCAACAAAAGTCTGTGCTCCCATGTCCAAGGAATGCTCTGTTGGTGTTCAGCTGCCATAAAGCTGGGTTGAAGTCTCTTAGGTATAGCCACAATAGGAGCCATGTTGGGGGCATTACCACACAGAGAATGAGAGAGTTAGTCAAACCAGACTAGAACAGTGAGGAAAAGGGCCTCCTGCCTGGAGAATTCCAAGGGAAGACGCACGTGCCAGGAACACTAGCTGTCCTAGTTTGTTTCTTCATTGCTGTGACAAAACACTCTGACCACTACCAACTTGGGGAGGAAAGGGTTTATATCATTTTACATCTCCCGGTCACAGTTCATCAGGGAGCCCAGTGTAGGAACTCAGGGCAGGAACCTGGAGGCAGGAGCTGGAGCTCAGGCCATGGAGGAACACTGCTCACTGGATTGCTCCCCTGGCCCCTGCTCAGCCTGCTTTCTTATACAACACAGGCCCACCTGCCCAGGGATGGCACCACCCACAGTGGGCTGGGCCCTTCCACATCACTCAACAATCAAGAAGATGCCCCACAGACATGGCCACAGGCCAGTCCAATGAAGGTAATTCCCCAATTGAGGCTCCCTCAACCCAGGTGTGTCAGGTTGACACTAAACCTGTCCAGCACAGTAGCCTTTGGGTGTTCTACTGCCTGGTTGTTGAGGCCTGTCAAGTTATGGTCAATGTGGCCACAAGTGGATAGACCTCACCCCTTTAAGAGAGCCTACAGGATTATTTCACAAGTGCCATTTAGAACTGACAGTACTCCCCCTGGAATGGAAGTAATACTCACCCCTTCCAGAAATGTTAGAGACAACCAGATGAAAGTATACCTCAGCCCTTACTTGTAAAATTCCAGGTATGCTCATGTCACTGCAGAGGGTGTGGTTGTGACACAATAAAGTGGTACTTGAGTCAGGGTGTACCCTGGCTACTTGTGCAGTGATCCTGCTTATGGGCTTGCCCAGCCATCTGAGATCTTTGTTGCTTTAAAAAGGAAGATGATGGAAACATCTTAAAATTGAAATTAAGGCGTCTTTCCAGATCTTTAGTAACCACTGGATTTGAATGTGAGTGATAAGTGTTACTCATGTCTGGTCCCTAGGTGGTAATTGTACTTTTACTTCAGTGTCTGCTTTGATTTGTGGGTAGTGTGGCCAGGAGCAACTTGAAAAAGATTCTGAAGCCATATCTGGGCTTAAGTGGTTTGGAAAGATGGTTCGTATCTCCTGTGGGATGGGAGGGGAGAGACACTGTAAGAGGCAGGTTTCTTGCTCATTTTGCCAGTTGTATTTTTGACTTGCCTCTTACCTAGGCTTCAAGCTCTGGAGAATAGCAACATTACCACTCATCATCTCTAGCTGTGTTGAGGTAGGCACATAACACACTTGAGTATTTGTTGCACAAGTGAGTGAACGAATCAACTAAGATCAGAATGTGTAAGTTACCCAACATTCCAGAGTGAAGCCAGTAACACCCTTAGGTGTCAGCTCTCTAACACTGTGATGTGACTTGTCCCATGTGACTCTCTACATGGCCCAGAACTTTTTACCAAGAGAAAATGGCTCTCATCTTGGCCCCCTTTTCTTCTTCTAGTTAAGAAAAGACAAATGTGTGAATGATTAGCCCACAAAAGGCAGGATGGGGATCTAAATGACTAGTTCAGTCCCAGAAATGGGCGGCACCCATTTGAGTGCAGAGTACTTTGCTTGGGACTTAGTTTTTTTAAAAATATTTATTACTACAAATGAACCTACCATTTGACCCAGTTACACCACTCCTTGGCATATACCCAAAGAACTCATCCTATTGCAGAGACACTTGTGTATCCATGTTTGTTGCTGCTCTTTTCCCAGTAGCTAAGAGATGGAAGCAACCTAAGTGTCCCTCAGTTGACGAGTAGATAATGAAAACGTGGTTCATTTATACAGTGGAGTTTTACTCAGCAGTAAAGAAAGGTGAAATCATGAAATTTGCAGGTAAATGGATGGAACTAGAAACTGTTAGACTAAGTGAAATAACACAGACTCAGAAAAAAAATCGATGTATGTTCTCCCTCATATTGTGGATCCTAGAACCAAACCCTGATAAGTGAGTATGTATCCAGACGTAACTACAGGAACCAGGATAATGGAATGGAA